TTCAATATGTTATATACTATATTTTACTCATTATACCAAAATTGATAATACTACTTCTTCCTGTAGCAATAGCAATCTTCATGAAGCCAGTCAATGATCACCTGAAACAAATCTTCAAAGTACTGTGTCCACTACACTCATACTGCAAAGTTTGCAAAAGAGATGACACCGAAGAAGGAGCGGCAAATCCTTAAGTAAATACAATTCAGTCTATGTAGCCTGAACAATTTAGTGACCTAATTTTATGAACAAAAAGTTTAGTTTTATTGTTAGTTTAGTTTTATGTTTAGTCAGAATTTATTTTTGTTTTGTTTAGTAGCTAGCTGAAATAAAACTTGTACTAGCTACATGCCCACATGCCACTTTTTGACCAAACATGATGTTACTGCAATTAATACTATAGAGGAGACTTACCAGTATTCAGTGGGGTATTTTGTCTATTAATATTAAATCAAGCTCTTTCAAATAAGCTCTTGCCAAGACTCAATAGCCACAATACATTTATATAAACTCAAAATAAGTTATTCTATGCATACATTACGGTATATGGTATACTAGTAAGTTACATACACAGAATATAGGACCTGAGGTTTGTGTATGAGGATGGGATATAGCTCAATGATCACAGGCCTGAGGGCTATATCACATCCAAGGACACAAACCTCAGGGTCTATATTCTGTATATGAGATTGTTTTAGTATACTATGAATGATACACTGCATAATGATGAGTCAGACAGCATTTCTGCATAGCAGGTCTATACAAAATATAGGACCCATCACATCAAAGAAATGAGGATTCCAAACACCCCTAGCACCAATGTCACTAAATATAGTTATTGCTTTTTTTTAATTTGCTTCTTTTTAAAAGGTTTTCCATAGCTTTAAAAATTTTAGTTAGAACCACCTCAAACTTTCTACACAGCATCATTATATCAATATGTATCAGAAAATGTAATGAAAACCAGAATGATTTTCGAGCCGCTTTCTGAAAACACCATGGACTATATATTGAAGTCTTGCATGCTTTATCTAAAAAATTTCAAAAATTGCTGTGACTTGAATTCTTTCAGTTGGGTTGGAATCAGCTCAGTGATGTTATCAATGCATCATCATTAACTAAAAACTGATGTATTAAATGTCTGAAGTATGTACAGCGTCATTTAGGTACAACTTCACCGTACAAGAGATGAAAAAAAGTGACACAATGATGCACATAGCAAATGAGATTTGATGAAAATACACTATGAACTTTTAAAGTAAATGGTGATAGCATATGCTATATGCTAATAGCAG